GCTTCTGTGTTGTACGTCTACAGAGGACAGAGATACACTGCTATAATGTCACTATAGTAACGGATGTAAACACTCAGTTCATCACATCAGAGGAAGTCAATAACCACAGGAGGAGCTGATGATGATTAAAGGAGGAGCTGTAACTATATATAATGAAGAGGAAGAGCTGTCACTACATCTAATGAAGAGGAAGACGGACAGAAGCAGAAATGTCTGATCAGTGTGATCTGTGTCTGCTGGGACTGATCATTCTCTCTTCACTTCTCACAGGTAAAGAAATCTGTATTTTCTCTAAACACATTTAGTGGAATTAGTCTGGAAAGAGTTGATTTGAACATGCTCAGTTTATTCTTGCACACATTCACGTTGTGATCTCAGAGTTGTGTATTGATACACACAGATCATACTGTATTATTCCTGATACTGGACATAGTGTCACTCAAACATCTGATGATGAAGAATGATCTTCATATTAAGAGTGTGTCAGTGATTTGAACAGCTCTGATAAACACTCATAGTTTATTCTGGAGAGAGTGTGTTTGCTTTAAGTGAGAATAAAGACTATGATTTAAAATGTCTGCTTTTTTTGCTGGTATATTTTATTATTTTATATATATATATATATATATATATATATATATAATATATATATATATATATATCATCATGATCACTGAGATATACTGTGTTTCAGGAACCAGTAGAGTGGATCGTGTGTTCATCAGTTCTGGTGTAGATGTCTCTCTGTCCTGTAATAAACATCTTTCTGACTGCAAATCAACATCATGGGCCTATTTTAACGGCTTCAGAGATTCAGGGACAGTTAAACTGATTACTGGAGGAATAAAGAATAAAGACACAGAGAGACATGAGAGACTGAGTCTGGAGTCTGACTGCTCTCTGAACATCAAGAACATCACAGAAGAAGATTATGGATTATACACCTGCAGACAATATGTGAACGGAGAACAACAAGGATCTGATTCTGATGTTTATCTGCATGTTCTTCATGGTAAATTTATGATTATGTGTGATTTATGAGCAGATTCTCCCTTTAAACTCAGATGATGATTGAAGAGTCTGTGATTTGTGTCTTGTGTTCAGTTTCAGTGTCTCCATCATCATCATCTTCATCATCATCATCATCTTCATCCTCTCAGACTGAGATCAGTCCAGGCCGCTCTGTGACTCTCTCCTGTCAGTTTTATTTATATTCTATATACTCCTGTGATTATTTGGTCAGTTCTGGGGAAGTTGAGCTGTTGTGGGTGAATCAGGCTGGTGTTGATCTGAAGACAGACTCCAGATATCAGATATCATCATCATCATCATCATCATCACGTCGCTGTATCATCACTCAGACTACAACACTCCTGGATGAAGATGACAACAGAGAGTGGAGATGTCAGCTTACTTGGGGAAATCAAGTCCAGACGTCAGTCAGATACACTGTCAAGTATTCAGGTGAGGAAACAGTGTTAGAAGAGCCTCATGATGTCAGGAACACTGAGGTCTATCAGTATCACTGAACCAGAACAAACTGAGGGAACAAAAGCTTCTTTGACTCTCACAGAAGAGGAACTCAAAGCGTTGCTTCAAACTAATGAACTGCAGTGAAGTCACAGTCCAACTGTTCACTCTTTATGTAATGTGATGATCACAGTTAAAATATGATGCTCATATTGTACAGTATGAATCATCTGAACTAACATTGATCTTCACAGCTCAAGCTGATTCAACGACAGCAGTGAATCCAGTCCACATCACACACTCTCAGGATCCCTCAACTATAAACACACACGTTTCTAAAGGCACATCATCACTGTCTTTCTCACATCAGTGCTTTTCAGTGCGTAATGCTGGAGTTATCTTCAGTGTTCACTCATCTAAATATGACTGTCATATTCTACAGGACCATTGGCACATTGAGTTGTGTTAGCTTCATTTTCATGGACTCGTGTGGTGTGTGTAAACATGTAGAAGTGTGTGTTGACCTGAACTAACACACGTGATCTCCACAGGTGATCCGGCATCAGGAACTGCTGGATTATTATACAGAGGTACGACACGTTGATTTAGACGGACAGCTTTCTAACATTACACTATCAGTCCGTCTGTAAATGCTTCATCAATAACTGTTGATAGATGAAGACCCTTGACTTCAGTCATGTCCAGTTTCTCTTCTTCTTCCTCTCATGTTTCCTGCAGTGATTGTGAGTATTGTTGAGATGGCAGTGTTTGCTGCTCCTACTGTGATTCTTCTTCAGATCATCTGTGCAAGAAGAGCTGGTGAGTTTGAGCCCCACACACTCTGAAGATTCACACTCGTCTGATCTGAACATCTGCAATCATGATAAACACACACCAGAGGTCAGGCAATGCTTTTATTTTGCAGGGAGGAAGGACTCGAAGCCCCCGGAGGAAATAGAGATACCCACAATATTACAGTAAAACGTCTCTGGTTACGTATGTAACCTTAGTTCCCTGAAGGGAACTTCGAGCTGCGTGTAACCGCTATGGGAACGCCCCTGCGTGATGAGTCATGAAGCACGTATGAAATCAGTCCAATGGTGAGACGGAACGTCATAGGCGGGGTGATGTATCGACCAGGAAACTATAAAGCACCCTAGAAACACAAGCGCAACAGCTTCTGATAAGACTGAAGCAAGTGCTGACGGGCATGCTGGGAGTATGGCATGGACACGCAGCGTCTCGTTCCCTTCAGGGAACTAAGGTTACATACGTAACCAGAGACGTTCCCATTCAGGGAACTTCGAGCTGCGTGTAACCGCTATGGGAACGCTAATACCAACACCGCCATGCGAGCAGGTGTCCGTTGTATGAAATCAGCACACAGTCAGACGAAAGCACCTGCGCCCCTGGAGCGGAGCTACCATACCCCTGGTTGAGTGAGCCCGGACAGCCAAAGGAGACGGCTGATGCAGACTCATATGCAAGTGAGATGGCCTCAACCACTCACTTACTCAGCCTCTGCTTAGATGCGGGACAACCTTTCCTCGGAGGTCCAAGACAAACAGATAACTGTTCAGACCTTCTCCACAGGGCAGCTCTGTGGACATAAGCATCTAGAGCCCTCACAGGGCAGAGCAGATTAGCTTCTATTGGTCTCACCTCAGGATACCACAAAGGAAACGAATTACAAATGGATATCTCCCGTGAGAAGCTCCACTCAAAGGGACGTGGTAAGCAGATAAGGCCACCACATACACCTTTAGTGTGGAGTGGGATAACCCTGTGGAGAAACGCTCCTGAAGGAATTCCAGCACCGCCACACTGGGCAGTTAACTGGGTCCAACTGGTGTTCTCCACACCAAGAGGTGAACCAATTCCACCTCAAGGCATATAATCTCCTCGTGGACGGAGCTCTGGATTGGAGGATGGTCTCCACGACCTCAGTCGAGAGACCTGATTCTATGAGCTGGGCCCCCTCAGAGGCCAAGCCCACAGCCTCCAAAGATCTGGGCGGGGATGAAGTATCGACCCGCATCCATACTCGGGCCGGCCAATACGGGGCTACTGACAGTAGACTGACCCCGTCTCGGCGAACCCTCTCCAGAACTCCTGGGAGCAGAGCAATCGGGGGAAATGCGTACAGGGGTGACCTCGGCCACTCCTGTACCATCGCATCCAACCCCAAAGGGGCTGGTGGATTTTAGAGAAACCACAGCAGGCAGTGTCTCAGTCCCTGGATTCAAATAGGTCTACCTCAGTGGTATGGGGCGGCAGTGGCTCAGTGGTTCATGTGGGTTGTCTACGAACCGAAAGGTTGGTGGTTCAATCCTCGGTTCCACCTGACCAAGTGTCGAGGTGTCCATGAGCAAGACACCTAACCCCAGCTGCTCCCGACAAGCTGGCTGGCGCCTTGCATGGCTGACACCGCCGTCGGTGTGTGAATGAGTGTATGAATGGGTGAATGTGAGGCAAATGTAAAGCGTACATTTGGTGGCCATTAGGTCTATGAAGGCGCTATATAAATGCAGTCCATTTACCATTTACCTCGGCACGACCGAAATGATCCATAGGAGCTCCACCACCTCGGGGTGGAGTCTCCCCTCCCCGGGCCTCGGGTCCTGCCTCGACAGGATGTCTGCTCCCCGATTTAAATACTGCGCCCAGTAGCCCCGGGGACGTGAGCACGGAGGGTGAGACATTATTGGGGCGCCGCTGCCTGCTTTCTTCCTTCTTGAAATCTTTCGAGCTTTATCCTTTTCCTTCATGCTAGCTAAATTCAGCCATAAATGTCTCTCTGTGGCCACCAGGGCTGCCATAGAACGGCCGACTGATCTGGCCGTCTCCTTGGTGGCACGGAGAGAAATATCTGCTGTCTGACGCAGATCTTTAATGATGTCAGTGCTAACAACCTCCCCCTCATTCATATCTCCTAATAAGTCTGCTTGATACGCCTGGAGGATAGCCATCGTATGCAAGCATGATGCTGCCTGTCCCGCCGCCGAATAAGCTTTGCCCACCAAAGCCGATGTATTTCTAAGTGGCTTGGTGGGCAACCCCGGTGTTTTCAAAGACGATGCCGTATCAGGAGAAAGATGGCTCACTAAAACTTCCTCCATCCTTAGCATCGCCCCATAACCCTGTCTCTTAGACCCCGCGATATTAGAATACATCGATGTCTGATGCGTCAGAATTCTCGATGACACCGGTCTATTCCACGATCTACACACCTCAGTGTGTAGATCGGGAAAGAAGGGCAAACACCGGCATGGAGGTAGAGAGTGAGACGGTAAAAATCTCTCGTCTAATTTGCTCTTCACTCTAGACTCTTGTTTTTCGACTGGCCATTCAATATTTAATTTTTCTACAGCCCGAGTCAAAACCTCCATAAGCTCTTCACACACGGGAGACTGGGATGGCGATTCCCCGATCTCCACTGAGTCAATAGACTCCACATCCATATTTCTTTCACTTTCAACATCCACACTTTCAACATCCAGTTCCTCGGAACTGGATAGCTGAAGTGATGGAGCCTCAGCCCGGGTAGGAGAAACCGCAGCGCGGACCCCCGCACCGAGATCTGAGGCGCTGGATCTATCAGGTAAGGGCAGAGAAAAGGCAGAGCCCGTCTCCATCCCCGCTGATAGGTCCATTTGGGATCCCCACGACGCAAGCCTTTGCCGTGCCTCGGATTTCATACAACGGACACCTGCTCGCATGGCGGCGTTGGTATTAGCGTTCCCATAGCGGTTACACGCAGCTCGAAGTTCCCTGAATGGGAACGTCTCTGGTTACGTATGTAACCTTAGTTCCCTGAAGGGAACGAGACGCTGCGTGTCCATGCCATACTCCCAGCATGCCCGTCAGCACTTGCTTCAGTCTTATCAGAAGCTGTTGCGCTTGTGTTTCTAGGGTGCTTTATAGTTTCCTGGTCGATACATCACCCCGCCTATGACGTTCCGTCTCACCATTCGACTGATTTCATACGTGCTTCATGACTCATCACGCAGGGGCGTTCCCATAGCGGTTACATGCAGCTCGAAGTTCCCTAAATGGGAACACTGATCAGTTCACAATCTGCAGCTATATTTACAATAGCAAACACTTTTTTATCTCAATCATACTTTTATTAGGATTTATTTTCATTTCTATGGATATTTGCCTACAGTCATGTTCTTGAGCTTCATCTGTAAACTGCTGTAAATATAATATTAAATACAGTAATGGACAGACTCAGACTGTATAATCGTCTCTCTGTTCTGTGTGATGGAGATGATCTGAGGATTATTGTATTATTGATTCCTCATCTGTTTTTCATGTTGAATGATTGCTACTAATATTCTTAATAAACCTCTGCAGTTGTGTTTAATATGTCTCCTTTCCTGAGATGTTCCCCTTCATGAACTCGTAATGTATGGTAATATAGAAGAGTAAGTGTGAGTATTAAAGGCTCAAGTGTTGATGAAATATGTGTGTGTGCAGCACTGTGAAACCAGTGCAAGTTCATGAGGAGAGGAGTGACGTGCGTCTCTATAGCTAAAGACCATGTTTCTGAATGACAGACACTAGTGATGACATGTAGATGGAGAAGAGAAGCGGTCCCAGCACTGAGCCCTGAGGCACTCCAGTATCTAGATGAGAACAGTGATGGAGAAACCATGTTTCTGATGATGACATGTAGATGGAGAACATCATTGAGACAGTAGTCAGGAGTTCAGGGAGCCGGAAGTTAAATCAGTGGTGCTTGAGAAATACATCCCAGATCTATCTTCCAGATCATTTGTAGTGTTGATAAAGGAGGCTGGATCAGATCTGTTTTCCTCAGAGTAAACAACACATTATAATCCATGTGTAGAAACTGGAACTGATGCTAATAATGACTTTTAAATACTATAAAAATTGTTTTAATTCAGGAGTCATGGATAGTGGGAAATAATGTCATGATTTTATTTCTAGAATTGAACGCATGCAGGAAACTGCTCAAATAAGGAAGTGAAACTATCAGTAATGCTCTCGTGTGTTCAGAGCAGATGTGTGTTGCAGTGCACTTCTCAGACATGTTTAACACACATGTAAAGACACTTCACTGTGTCAATAAATATCAATGATTTACACCTTCATATTGTCAGGAGTGTGACAGCGCCAAAATGTGTGTTACATGGTTGATGATACTTTAACATATACACGTGTAGCGCCTCTCCCTTAGACTGAAGCGGGTTAGTTTATTGTTCGATCTCTCTAAGCAGCCTCTGAATATTATTAATGATTAGGGATGGGAACTGTAATAAAATATGTTGGGTTCCATTAACGATTATTTTAGTTTAACTTTAAGGAATATTTGGCCAAACTCCATTGCCTCATGATGAGAATTTTAATACTAGATTTCTCTTTAGAGGGCGAGGTGTCTGTGGACTGTGCTCTTTACGTGATTTCCGTAGTGTTTTTATAGCTGTGATCTCACTGTTGAGGTCTGGGAAACATGACTCACAGTTTGACCAGAATAGAGCCGTGATCATCTCTGAACACAGTTGATGAGTTTATAGACTGGTTCTGCTGGTTCTGGCATCAGTCTAGAGAGTTGGGGATCTGTCTCATCTGCTCTTTAGTGGACACATGGTTCCTCGAGTTTGGGCCTAATCAGACTGTTTGGATAGTCTGTGAGATCACGTAGGGATGAGACCAGACAAAGAGGTGAAGGTTCTGATAGGCCGAAGCAAGTCGATCACATGCATGCAGGGAGTATGGCGGGCGACGCAGCGTCTCGTTCCCTCTTAGGGAACCAGGGTTACAGTCATAACCTGAGACGCTCCCTTTCAAGGAAACTCAAGCTGGGTCGAGACCAGCAAATGCCTGCTCTGTGTGAAGTCATTGCGCACACTAAGAAGCAAACACCCTAGACCCCGGAGTGGAGCCTAGATCCAACTCATAGCCTTTGAGGCAGCCGTACTCCTAGTGTCTTGGTCAGACGCCTCACAGTACCGCAAAGGAAACGTACTACAGGGTGTCTCCCCAAGGATACGTGGCCAGCAG